TTGCAAAATTAATTTGAAGTATTATTTATTATTCAATGAAAATATAAAACAAAGCCTTCGAAGTTTGATCCTTATATATTCCTATTGGTCTTAACTAATATTTTTTGTAGCCCCTTACTTTCAAATTTCAATTTTAAAATTTTAAAATTAAAATTTCAAATTTAAAACTTTAAAGTTTAAAATTTAATTCTTAGCCTTAAAAGTTTTTTTTGGTCAAAATAATTTTTTTTATTCAACCAAGTGTATATATGTACATCTACTAATCCTTTTGGACTCTAGGACTAGTCCTCTATAGTCAATACCTATCTAAGTAGCATCTCAAACTATACAAAGAAGCTAAAGAACCTGCTACGTCTATATAGGAAAACAATTTAGACTCCTAACACTTTTTGCCATTTGTGATATCTCTGTCCTCTAGTATGCAATTGGAGGACAATTTCTCTTACTCTATACACACTCATTTTCTTTTCCTGCTGGAACCTTCGGCTATTTCGTTCATGCCAGATATGGTAAACAGTAGAAGCAAACAACCATCTTACAATTTCTTGTCTTGCTCTGCCTCCCCCAGTTCTTTTAGCCATCCAATTTAGTTCTTCATTCCATGTAGTTATCTGTCTAGGTTCTCCTATCCGTCGCAGCAAGTTAGTCTATATATGTCTTGAATAGGTATATCCAAAGAGCAGATGTGCAAAGGTTTCATCCTCAGTTGAGTTGCATAAAACACATTCCTTAGGAATATGAATCCCCTATCTTTCCAGTCGATCAATAATAGCCAATCATTGTTGAACTGCAAGCCACCGTATGAACTGATGTCTTGGTATCAACTGTGTTCCCATAGTAGTGTGTTTCCAAGGGACCCTCTGGTACTGTGGACATAGATATAGATATGCTTTCTTTATGTTGAAACCTTCATGTGTAGCACATTGTTGCAGTTCCACTGTAAGGTCCTTATCCTTAAACCAGTTCTTGGCATCGAAAATTTTCCTCACAAGCCAGCACGCTTGTTTAGGTGTTGGCATAGTGACTAAGTCCCTGTTTTTATATAGAATGCATGAATCCATAGTACCTAAAGCGACTCCTTTTTTGTGATCACAGCCCAAAGAAGTTTACAGATTGCTGCTTTGTTCCATGTGTGAAAGTTGATGATATTTAAACCTCCAGCTGACTTGGGCATGCATAGTTGTTCCCATGACACTAGTGCATTCCTCGATGCATGACAGCTGCCTGTCCAAAGAAAGCAAATGCTCGTTAGTAATTGAATTACTTTCTTTGGTAATAGGAATACTTGATCCTAATATGTTTGCATCTCAAACAACACGCTTTTGATCAGTCAACACGCTTTTGATCAGTTGTAATCTTCCACTATATGTAGCAGCTTGGTAGTCCAGCATCTGATCTTTAATGTCATTCTCTCTACCAAGGGCATACACTGCTGTATAGTGAGCTTCCTAGAAGAGAGGGGAACACCAAGATACTTAAAGGGCATCTCCCCTAAAGTAAATTGCATTTCAGTCAGGATTTGTTCCTTTAGGATTGTTGATACACTAGTGATATACAAAGAACTTTTGTCCAAATTTGTTCTGAGGCCAGAAACATCTGAGAAATGATTGAATGCTTTGAGTAACAGATGGATTGATATTCTATCCGCTCGACAACACATTATGAGATCATCCGCTAAGCATATATGCACCAACTTCATCTTCCCACACCTTGGATGGTAGGTGAAGTTGGGGATATGTTGTAGTTGCTTGAGGGTCCTGTTCAAGTATTCCATAGCCAGAACAAAAAGGTAAGGAGACATAGGGTCCCCCTGCCTCCGTCCCTTTTTTGCCACAAACTTAGGAGTAAGCCCTCATTGATCAAGAGTGAGTAGCTCACTATGGTAACACATTCCATAATCCGGTCCACAAACTTCCCAGGCAAGCCAAATTCCAGCAGTACACACTTTAGAAAACCCACTCCACTGAACCATATGCTTTCCTTATGTCAATTTTGATAAGGCATCTAGGTGATAATCCTTTCTGAGTATGGCCCTTAACTAATTCATGAGCCACTATAAAATTGTCCAGTATACTCCTCCCTACTATGAAAGCTGATTGGGATGGCCCAACTAAAGAATCCACTACTAGCTTCAACCTGGCAGTAAGAATTTTTGCTATGAGCTTGTACATGGTGGTGCAACAAGTTATAGGTCTATACTCTTTCACGTATGTTGGATTAGAGACCTTGGGTACTAATGTTATTGTAGTACAATTGATCTCCTTTAACAGTTTCCTATTATCAAAGAATTGTAGGATAGCCTGAGTAACTTCTTCTCCTATTATTCTCCAAAACTCTTTAAAGAATTCTGCAGTGAACCCATCTATTCCAAGAGACTTGTCATTAGGTAAATCCCTCAGTGCCTGGAGCACTTCCATTTTTGTGATAGGTTGAATAAGAGCTTGCTGTTGCTCTCTATTTAGGCATGGTACATCTTTGGCATAGTAGGTGTTTAGGCATGGCAACTCTTGAGCACTTGTTCCTAGCAGACTTTGAAAGAAGTCTGTGAATTCTTTTGCACCTGTGAGACTTTCTTAGTTGCACTCCTAGATCATTCTATATTGAAACAATACCATTTCTCGCTTGTCTAGCTTTGAGTTGAGCATGGAAGAACTTACAGTTGGAATCCCTATGATTGGTCCAGAAAGCTTTGGATTTTTGTTTAAGCACTATTTCATGAATAGTAGGCCATTTCTCTAGTTCTAGCATAATCTCTCTCTTTGCCAAAATCAGTTCAGGATTGTAGAGATCATTTCCCAATTCCCTCTGGATGTCACTGAGCTTTGACTGTAACTCCTCTAGTTTATGATCTAGGGATGACATTTTTCTGTTCATGGTCTTAGTTACTTGCTTACTATGCTTCAGTTGCATACTCGTTACATAGTATGCCCTGTGATGTTAATCTCCCAAGCTTTTTGAGTGGCCTCTTTGAATGCTTCCTGATGCAGTATCACATTCAGCAATCTTAAAGGCTTGGGTAGTCTCTATCTAGGCACAATGGTAGAGATGAGGATGAGTGAGTGATCTGAGCATCCCAGATTAAGATAACAAGCTTCCAGATTACCATAAGTGGTGAACCATTGATCATTGCCAAGAGCCCAGTCAATTAAGATATAAATTCTATCCTCAGGATCTTGCTTATTACTCCATGAAAACTGACATGCCTTTCTTCTGAATTGGCCCAAGACAACTTCATCCATACATTCCTAAAAGTCTTGTGTTTCTGCTTGCTGGACAGGAGACCCATTAACTCTATCATGGACCGACATAACAATATTGAAATCCCGCATTATTACCCATGGTTCTGTCATATTATTATTGATCCTTTTCACTTGCTCCCAAATTTTCTTCATACCTTCAATAGTATTATAACCGTATATATAAGTGGTATGGCAAGCAAATCTAGAATATTTGTCTTTCACATTGCAGTGCACTACTTGAGGATGTGATGATAGAATTCTAACCGTAACCTATAGTCTGTATCTACCCGCCAATCAATCCACAGTTTCCTCTTTATTCTCTCAGCCTTATTAGCTTTAACTTTAGTCTCAAGGAAGCCAATCAGAACCACCTTATTCTTAAGCAGAAAAGATTTTAATTCTTTCTACTTGAAGGGCTTATTCATCCATGATCCAAAAATCATGGAGGATTCTTATTGACTGGACTAGTAACCCTTACCACATTGCTAGTGGTTTTCTCTGTATCTATTCTTAAGGCACTGAACTTGTTATGTCTTAGCATCCTTTCCATTTCAATACTTGCCCGTATCTTATCTTGTATCTCTGGCATCTGCATTAGTTGCTTTCCTCTATCAGTATTGTTTGCTTTCTCCATAGGCATATCTTCATATTGTTGGCCAGTTGTGATTAGATTGGCAGCATCATTTGAGCTATTAGGTTGCTCAGCTTTTGATACCAGTATCTGTACATTCCCCACATCCTTGTTTGGGATAGGATCAGATTTGGCCCTCCACTCCTTCTTTTGGTGTTTCCTCCCCTTGTTCACTTGCTGCTGCTCCAGGTTACCAGCATCATCTGGTGCCTTCTTACAGCTGCATGTGACATGTCCCATTTGAAGACAGTCTTGACAAAATAGAGGTTTCCATTTATATTCCACAACCTGCATTAGACATTGCCCATTGGGCATCTCTAATGGAATTGCGTCTAGCAATGGTTGGGATATGTCCATTTCAATTACCATCCTAACACAAGAAATTCTATCTTCCTGTGCTGTAAGCTTATCAGTGAAGATTGGTCTCCCTAGACAGCTGGCTATTCTGTCCAAATTTCCAGTAGTCCAAAATTGGATAGGTAAATTTGGGAGCATTACCCACATAGGAATGATTTGGTCAGGCTCATTACTCATCTGGAAATCGTGACTCCATTGCTTGAGCACTAGAGGTCTATTATTGAAGGTTTATGACCCATTCTACAGTATTGTGTTCTGATAATAGGCTAGATTCATGCAATTTGGCGACTGTTTATGCCCTAGCTTGATTATGTTTCACTGTTATAATATAGTAAAATGGGATCTAATTGAGAATTTCACACTTTGCAGGAGTGAGTGGCATGCATGAGGCCTTAAATCTGTATCTGGAGCAAAATTGAAGCAAGAAAAGCCCCTAGAAGCTAAGTACGTGGGAAGACGAGAGAAAGAAGAGATAAAATGAAGATCTGGACTAGCTCGGCCACTAGCGCGTCCGCTGGAGTGATCGCGCTAGCCCAGGAAGTCGAGGAAGAATGATAGGCTATATGCGCGGTCATTAGCACGTTCACTAGCGCGACCGCGCTAGCCCAGTTCCGGAAAATTAAACTTCAAGGGTAAATCTGGAAGTTCGGGGGCAAATCCACTTAACCTATTGAAGGTCTAGATCGCCCAAGAGATTATTATCACGGTTTTCATAACTTAGTTGAAGGCAAGGAGAGGCAAGAGGCAAGGAGGATAATTCAACATCGAGTTCTTCCTTTATTCCTTTTGTTTTTTACGATTTGTGATGAATTTGAACATTGTTATGATGAACACTAGTATGAGTAGCTAAATATCTAGTCTAAGGTTTTGATGGAACCTATTAAAGGATGAACGTCTTGTTATGTTAATATAGTTTGCCCATATTAATCTCTGTTTGTTTAACTACGTTCTTGTTGTAGTTAATTGATAAGATCCACAATTAGTTGTGCCTATTTAGTGTGCATAACTCGGGAGAGAGTGCATATTTAGCTCATTGTTGAACAGCACCACTCGTAAAGTATTTGAGGGATCAATAACCGAGGGTTTAAAGGCGGGATTAGAGATAACGAAGCCTTGGGTGCAATATAAAGTGAGCTGTAATAAACAAAGCCAGCTAGCGTAACTCGGGAGAGTGCGTCTAGTAAATTGTCGTGATTACTCAGGAGAGATTTGCGATAATAAGAGTGCTCATGATTGATAAAGACGATTAGGCAATTCTATGTGAAACATAACAGGAAGGGATTCCATCAATAAGGGAAATCATAACCTTGGAACCTCCTCTTAATTGTTTACAACTTAATCATAGTTAGTTTTTAGTTGCTTATTTACATTCATTCTTAGTTAGTAGAAACATCCTTAATTGTTATTCAGAAAGTTTGGGAAGTTGATTACGTAGAATTTCGTAAGTCTAATGAGAGTAATTGATAGGTTAATTCCTTGTGGGTTCGACTCTGGGCTAAATACTCAGATTATATTTGCAACGTTCGCGTGTCCTTTTTATAAGGCATAGTTGGGCGTGATCAAATTTTGGCGCCGTTGCCGGGGAATTAACGGTGTTATCAATTATAATTTAAAGAAATACCAAAATTCTTAGTGTAGTCATTTTTCTTCCTTTCAAATCTTTACATTGAAATCTTAACGTTTGTTGACTTGGTTGTACAGGTGCATGCCTAGAAACTCATCGAGAACTGGTGAAGTATTCGAAGCTCTATCTGATCCCGAGAAGGTTTTTAAGGCCTTAAACCGGGCCAACCAAAAAAGCAAACAGCAACAAACAATTGAACAAGTCGATCCGGACATGGGAGATCACGAAGTAGACCCAGCTGCACCAATAGCACCAGTGGCACCTCTTGTGCCAGAGGCTGCTCTCTATGACTGGGCACAACCCACAGCTGAAAATCTAGCCACGGTGATTTTAGTCCCACAAATACATGTTGAATCGTTCCAAATCACGAACAACATGCTGCACTTGTTGCAAAACAAGGGACTATTTTCGGGGTCACAGGTCGAAGATCCTTAACAGCACTTGAAGAGAATTTCCTGCCAATCTGCAAAACTCAAAGGCAGCCCAACATAACTCAGGAAGCAATCAAGCTATTATTGTTTCCACTCTCAGTGATAGGAGCTGCTACTGATAGGCTATAATTATGTATTATAGTCGATTATTACACTCTAATTTACTGCACTTTAATTGAGATTGAGCTTTAATCGGTAGTATTTTGCACTAACTGTGTGTTCTATGCCTTGTAGGAGTGATTCCGAGCTATATAGATGTTATGTAATGAATTCAAGTGATTTGGAGCTTTAAAGTTTGAGTAAAAGATCAACGAATTAAGACGGGATCGTGTTTGGGGGTCAACGGATGATAGTTAGATCGAACGAAAACTCCAGTAGGCATATTGCGCACTGTCTAGTAAAATAGATATAGCATTTTTCTCAGAACTCCATTTTAGTTTCACAATATATTGTTGGAAAGCTAACTCAAAGGGCTACAACTTTCATGTTTTACATTTTTCCACATTCGGAACGGAACAGGGTGAAAAATGCGCAAACTCTAGCACGAAGTCGCGCTAGTCTAGAAGCTGGAGACAGAATGTCAAGGAATATGCGCGAAGTCAAGCGCGAAGGATGCGCGAGCTCGCGCTAGTCACCCGGGAAAAATGTCCTTTTTCACATTGGAGAAGGTATAATTATTTGGGCCCAACCCTACTTGGTATATATACAGGGAAAACTGTATTTTGAGGAAGAGGACGTTTTTTAGAGGAAAACATAAGCACAGAGCCGCCGTGGAGGCCGGGTTTCATCTTTTCTTTCTCCAAACTTAGTAATTTTTATGTTTCTTTGTATGATTTGTTGTTTTGCTACCATGTCTATGTGGAGCTAAACTTCACGTTCTAGGGTTGTGGTTCTTTCATGACTATTGTTATTCGGATATTGATTTTGATTTCTTAGTTTATCATATTGGTTTATTTATTCAATCCTGCACTTAATTATTTGATTGCTTGATCACCAATTGAATACTATCTACGAATCTAGAGTTGAACTCGAAAGTGGGAATTCTAGATTGCATATAGGATTGAGTAGAGCAAGTTCTTGATCCTGGGCATCGGGGAACGGATTCGCGGTTAGGATAGACATATACCTAATTGCCTTTGATTTACAGGAATTATAAATGCGTTCTTGTTGATTCTAATTCCATAGACATATAGGAGTTGGGTTAGCTTGAATAGGCGAGTAAGAACTCGACATATTCTTATGAGCAATATTAACCCTGTCAACCAATAAACTAGATAAATTAGTTAGTTAATTCAATTGAAGAATATGATAGGAATGTTAGATAGCCCATAACCCGAGATCGTTTTCATTACATTGATATCATAAAATTTTGCTCATTCTCTGTCCAAAGTTCATTATTTGTTTTTATTTATTTTAATTAGTTTAGAATCAAATATTTTTAGGTTTAATTCTCGTTTAGATAATTAAGATAGTCTAATTTTGTTAATAGTTAATAACAAGTCCTCGTGGGTTCGACATCCGACTTTTAGTCACTTTATTACTTGACGACCGCGTATACTTGCATGTGCGTTTGGCTGCGACAAGTTTTTGGCGCCGCTGCCGGGGACTTGGAAATTAGCTATTTTTCTAGATTAGACTTTTAATTTTATTTTTTTTATTTTTTTGTATATACTTTTATTTTTACAAATATTTGATATTTTTCTCTTGGTGTGTTCCTAGTTCTCTCAGCATGACATCTGGGGATGAAATATACGGAGGTAAGGCTATTGATGAAGACTCTTGGTTGACAAAAGACTTTTATGGCTCGTATTTTTGGTCTTGTCATGGCCTGACTTCTTGGAGATTTGAATTTGAATATGGGAGTAAGGGTTGGTATTGGGAAGAATATTCACGATTAAGGGAATATGAGGAACGACGTTGTCTTCTAACAACGTTGGTGAATGATTGGTCTAAGGAGAGAGATGAACTTGCACATAAAATTGATAATTTTAGCTTGGCTGTGCATAACTTAGATGCAGATTTGAGCACAAAGGTTGATGCGTATAATGCCCAACAATTTAATAATGAGTTGTGTGAAGCTGAAAAAAATCTTTTAGACCAAATTGAGGAGCTAAAACGAGAATAGCAATCACTAGACCATGTTTTTCTTGATGATGCCAATATTGAGAAGAGTGCTCTAGAGTCATGTGAGGGAGTAGATAACATTACTTTGGGAGACTTGAGTATGTGTATATATGGGGATGTAAATAGTAGTAAAATTCATGAGTTAGGGCACATTAGACCTCATTCCAATCATCTTTCCGCATTGTGTTTAGATAGTAAGATAGTAATAGAGCCATCTGAGCCAATGAAGGGGTCAAAAAGTGAGGATGAGAGCGCCTATATTCTTGAATTTGTTGTGCCAAAAAGCAAAAATTACATTCCTCATCTAAAGGCCGAGAGGTGCAGAGTGAAAAATTTATTACTTGGCCTGGTTATCTTTGTAGCCCCACCAAAGGTGCATAGCCACAGACTGGATGCCATGTTAGGGGTACAATTCATAAGTTCAAGGTGGAGACAAAAATTGGTTCAAGTCGTGCCGCGACTTTAAATTAGGCGCTTGTTGGGAGGCAACCCAGCTTTACTGCTTTCTTTTATTTTTATTTATTTTTGTTTATTTTATTTTTCTATCTTTGTAGCATTTTTGTAGGATTATGAGCATAGAAGAAAAGCCACTGGAAGTGTGCAAAAGTGAGCTATGTGGTTGAAATAAGTGTGGGGTGACCGCACAAAGGATCGTACCTGGGAGAAGTCTGAGTATCCCGTGAGCTACTAATGCTTCGGCCTTTGGCCTACCAGGGGTCTCTTTTACCCTCTTGTTCTTTTTAGTGTGCATTGAGGACATTGCACAATTTTAAGTGTGGGGTGAGGAGATTGTCTGGGTGATTTTCTGTGCTATGTTAGCTTAGTTATAGTACTCGTTCTTAGTGTAGTAATTTAAAAAAAAAAACAAAAAAAACAAAAAAAAACCGAAAAATTTGGGCTTTTCCCGACGATGGATTTTGAGGGCAGCTTTCTTGAGGGATTAAAGTCTAAACAAAAAACACAAAAATATGTCTTTTAGCTTTCTTTAGGTAGTAATA